GCCATGCCACGGTGCTCGTATTGTGCAGGAGTGGTTTCAAGAACATGAGGGAGACTTTACCTTGCTTAGGTGGCCCCCACAATCACCATATCTCAATCCAATTGAGCATTTGTGGGACGAAGTTAAAAGAGCCATCAGGCAGCTGGTTCCACAACCATTAAATCTCACAGAACTGGACAGTGCTGTTCATCAGGCATGGTGTCAGATTCCTCACATCACCTTTCAACATCTCTTGGAGTCAATGCCAAGAATTGCCGAAGTATTGAAAGCAAAAGGTGGCCCAATGAAGTACTGATGGGGTGGTCATAATAATCTGGCCACTTATGTTCAAATATATCCCACGTTCAAAGGCTGTCAAATAGCGTTGTTTACCCATATCTTCAGAAAAAAATCACTTCTACTGTCGTGGTAAACAACCTGCTTCCCTATTTAGAAAAGTCTGGCCCTCTAGCAACTTCAGTGCGAAATTATAGCTAATTTGCCTACAAACATCAGGTGGTCATAATAATCTGGTCACTCAGTACAGACACACACACACACACACACACACACACACACACACACACATATTAGAGGCCCGTTGCCTGAAAATTTGTGCAAGAGTAGGCCTTCCTTCCCTGGGCTGCTGGCACTGGCTTCCCTCTGGCACCCGGGACCAGGGCTTCCCTCCCTCTGGCCAGCCGCAGGCACCCGGGACCCCGGGCAGCTTCCTCTAGGCTGGGCCCCGGCTTTGTCAGGAAGTATGTCCAGAATGACGTTAGGAAGATGTCAGGTCTATCCGGTCTAATAAGCATATTACCCTTTTATTAGTGTGTGTGTGTGTGTGTGTGTGTGTGTGTGTGTGTGTATCTTGATTTCAGAGGGGAAGGGAGAGGGGGAGAGAGAAACATTAATATCATGGGTCTCAGCTGCCTCCTGCATGCCCCCTAGTGGGGATTGAACTCGCAACCTGGGCATGTGCCCTTGACCAGAATTGAACTCGGGACCCTGCAGTCTGTAGGCTGATGCTCTATCCACTAAGCCAAACCAGCCAGGGCACCACCAGTCACTTTTAGAATGTTATATTGCTTCTAGAAGAAACCCCGTGCCACCTTTCCCATCTAGCTGCCTGCCCCACCCAGCCATCTGCACACTGCTGTTTCAGACATTTCATGGGAATGGGACCATACACAATGGGCGTTTTGTGACCGGCTGCCTCACTTGGGTGTATACCTCGGAGTGGCGTGTTGCAGGGTCCTATGTGACTGATATTAATCATTTGAGGAGCGGCTGCACCATTTCCATTCCAACAGCAGTGTGTGAGGGCTCGGATTTGTCCACATCCTCGCCAACACTTGCTATCATGTAACTTTTGGTTCTAGCCTCCAAGGTGACCTCGGGGTCTCGCCGAAGCATTGCTCTCTAGAGCAACAATCTATGCTTCTCAATTCAGTTTTAAAAGTGGATGTTGTTTAAAATGTCTGCACAAACATGCCTATTGGTAAGTTTTTGCTGCTCAAGATCTGCTGTGACACAGCTTGCAAGGGCTAAGTCTGCCCCAGGCCAACCTCACCCCCCCGGCTGCCTGGTCCTGTCTGGTACCTGGGGAGGGCACCAGCCAACCCTCTGCAGGGCTGTTCACAGACTGCGTTGGGCTTTGGGAGCCGAGGGAGGAAGAGTGAGGTTCAGGAGCAGCTTTGGGGCCGTGCCTGTCGCAGTGACTGTGCTGCTCCCTACAGGCTGAGGTGAACGGTATGTGGGGGGCACCTTCTCTGAATGAAGCCATGGGAGCCCAGGAGCTCCTGGGTGCCCGTCTGCAGGCTCCACTGTGCCCACTGTCCTGGCTTCTACGCTGCCTGGCAAAGGTCCGATCAGCAAAAATGAAAACTTTAAAGAGGTGATGTGGGCTCCACCTCAGAGTGGCTCAGACATGGTTCACGGTCCCACGTGGGACTGCAGACACCAGTGGGGGTGGGCAGTGGCCACGCGGGCCCGGCATGGCCCTCTTCGTTGGGAGAGAAAGTCCACGGGGCTGACGGCTCCCTCTTCAAACACTGATCGCTGGTCACAGTCTGGCCCCCAACTCCCATCCACAGGCCCTCCTCACAAAGTAAAGGGTGCCAGGTGAGGCCTCTTCCTGGCCGTCCCCACAGACCCGTTGGTTCTCCTGAGTCTGTGGGGGCAGATTGTGGGGCTCCCTGCTGGGCAGCACAGCCACAGCTGCAGCCCTGAGGCCAGGCTGTGGGCTCGGAGCTGGGGTCCCCAGTGCCGCAGCCCCCTGATCAGCAGCACCCCTGATCCACAGCCCCCCTGATCTGCAGCTCCCTGATCCGCAGCCCCCTGTGCAGTGACTCTGGGCTCACTTTGAATGTGTCATTATTCCAGGCCCGAGGGTGTGCTGGCCGATAGGGGGCTGGCGGTGCTGGGAGCCTGCAGCTGCTCAAGTCCCTGCTGTTCAGTCGTGACCGTTATGGCGTCCGGGCTAATTTGCATATTTCTCTATTTTATATATATATAGATATATGGCTAATATGCAAAGTGTCCCCTTAGGAGTTCGACTGGGAGACTGGGAGTTTGATCGCTCATTATGATGTGAGCTGACCACCAGGGGGTGGTATGGAATGAAGGAAGGCCCTGCCTGGCAGCCAGAAGGCCCTGATCGGCCCTGATTGCTGGCCAGGCCTAGGGACCCTACCCGTGCACGAATTTCATGCACCGGGCCTCTAGTATAATAATAAATCATAATATGCTAATTAGACTTCCAGACTAAGTCGGGGCTGCGAGGGCCGAGGCAAGCCGCCACGGCTGCGAGGGCCGAGGCCCTTGCATGAATTTCATGTATTGGGCCTCTAATATCTATCTATCTATCTATTTATCTATCTATCTATCTATCTATCTATCTATCTATCTATCTATCCATCTATCTATCTATATTTTTTTTTTCCTTTTTTTGCAGCCATACTCTAAATTATCACTGCTTAGTCAGTTATACTTATCAGTTTAATCTTTCCTAGTCTGGCATTTCTTGCAAACTATCATTCAGCCAGTGACTAAAAGAAGTGATATGTATCCTTGAAAGTTTCTATCTTAGAAATCTCAGAATTTGTATCAAGACTCAACTCTTTAAATGGTTGTAATGAGAACATAGTGAAGGAAAAGAAAATAAGATGTAAAATCATGAGCAAAAAAACCCCAAGGTTAATACAAATGAAAATTAGCTTGAACAATCTGTTTAGATTTTAAGACATAGGCTGAACCTCTTAAAGAAATTACTTTAATTAAGCAGGGTAATTTATCTGAAGGTATTTGATAAAACTGCTAAAGAAAAAAAAAAACTTCTGAGCAATGAATTTCCTGGAAGTCATGTAATGAAAGCTCATTGCCACATACTTCAGAATCTTAATGATATTAGAGTAGTAATAATTTAGGTATAGGAGAAACTCTATTAAATTAAATTCTTCGATGAAATATAGTCAGTGGCACTTACACTTTCACAAGAAAGCACTGCTGAAGGTCCTTCTGAATAAAACATATTTCCCATAATATGTTATAGCCTACCTCTAAAGATAGGAGGTAGGTGGTATGCTTGCAAAATCATTAATGCAAAAGCCTCTTTGTCTTACCCGTTCATCTGCACTGCCTGTTGCATGATGGGAATAACTGATGAGACCAGGGATGGGCTGCTCACCATGTGCCATGATAACAGCAGGACTGGTGTAGAATGGATGCTTCTAATGCACAACACATAATAACTATGAATACAGTGACAAGAAAACATGAAACTATACAAGCAAAATGACTGGAAAGGAAAAAAGGTGAAAACAAATGGAACAATGAAATGTCAAATCAGCTTAGATTTCAAATGCTATAAGCTTTTTTCTTAAGATTGAAATTGGTGGTATTTTTTACTCTTTTAATTAAGAGTAAAAGAAAAAGAACATACATTGATTTTTAAATGTATATTATTCACCAATTAGTTCCAGCAAAACAAAACAAAATTCACATACATCTTAAATACTAGCCTTAAGTAAAAACTTAATGGATCATTAAATTGATCTGAAGATAGAATCATCTGTCTTCAGTGAAAGGATCACCTGCTGGTTGTCTGAATGTACACTTCAAAAGGATCTATATGATCCTTTCTATCTATATGTTGTCAAAAAACCCTCTCATGCAATCCTCATAGGCAAAATATCTGGATAATCCGTAAAATGTTAGGAATTGCTTAAGATAGTAATTGGATTTTTACTCTTTATGCTCTCAATCAATGAACAATCATTATTCCCAGAAGTGATATTTTACTTTTTGAAGATTTTAAAGCACACTGGGTAAAGCATACTAGGTATGGATAATAATGTAAATGATGTTCTGTGACTTAAAATGACTAAATTTATTCAAGTACCTCATGGTACCCTACTCCCTGCATTTCCCCAAAAGAGTTTTTAATATGTTGGTACTGTTCTAATAATATTACTTTATTAGATTAAAAATGCAAATACCTTATATCCATTTCCTGCCTACACCACTATGGTAATCTGTCATTTATTTAAATAACTGTTTAGTTAATTGCTGAAAACACTTACATTAAAATATCTTTATTAACCTTTTTAACTAATCTCTTGAATCATCTAGCAGTGGTTCTCAACCTTCCTAATGCCACGACCCTTTAATACAGTTCCTCATGTTGTGGTGACCCCCAACCATAAAATTATTTTCATTGCTACTTCATAACTGTAATTTTGCTACTGTTATGAATCGTAATGTAAATATCTAATATGCAGGATGTATTTTCATTGTTCGCGACCCACAGGTTGAGAACCACTGAATTACTGTTCCTTTAAGAAATTGTGCATATTTGATTTTTTGAATATGTGAACATTATATATTTATTATTACACAAAAATGACATCTCCAAAAAGTTCTTCAATGTCACATTGTTTATCACATTGTTTATCATTGCAGCTTTTACTTCACTAGGTAACAGCAGTATCTTGAATGCCTCAGAACTCAGAACAAGCTTCAAGGCTTTCAAGAACTCTACATTATGGAGGAAACAGCGGCGTCATGAGTATCTCTGTTCTTTTTAAAGAATGTAGTAAAGAGGTTTTAAACTTACGGAATGATGAGATGAGAAGAGGGATGAAATCAGTACATTTACCTGTGGGTCCTTTAGATTGCTGGGTCTCTCTCAGAAAGCTTACCTTGGCAGCAATGGCTGCTGCAGTTATATGTGATGAAGAACTATCTTCTGTTGAAGCAACACCACTGTCTTTCTTCTCTTCTTCCTCTTCTTCACATTGAACCCCTTTGTCTTCTGTCTGTTTATGGGGGCTAGTTGTGGGAGGAGGAGAAAGAGGAGGTGGTGGGGAAGGTAAATCTTCAAGTTCATCATGCACTTCCTTTACTTTTACAATGGCATCACGTAAAAGGTCAATGGCATGAGGTAGAGCTGGCAGTATGAACTGAAAGCATTCCTGTATGCAAGAGAAAGAAAAAAATGAAGATGAAGTACTTTTATAGGCATAAAAAATGGTAGCAATCAAACTTATTTGTGATTTTTGGATTTGCATTTCTTTTCATCAGTCTTAAGAATGAATCATATTTAAAGCATTATTGTTGTAATATGAAAAAGGAAGTAAGCATGTTGTATATTACAGTATTCTTTGAGGAACTACAGTACTATATAAGCACACAATATTTTTTTGACCAAAAATGTTTATACAACTTTGGGGTTCAAGGATATATTATGGGAAAAGAAAAAAAACAGTTTTTACCTCTCTAATTAGAGCAGAGCATTAGAACTAACAAACCACTTGAGGACTGAGCTATTTTATCCAGAGATCTAAAGTTCTGACTACCATCATAAAGTACAGCTAGTCAACATTAGATATAACTTTGTACAAAACACTGCATTAAAGTCAATACAGTCTCCTGCTCAGCTGCACACTATTACCTATAATGTACCATCAAAAAGAGAATAGGTGAGAATGTTAACCTTAGAACATTGGGTCATATATGTTTGGGGAATGTGTTGGGGCAGAGGTCTTTCTCTTTTATATTTAAAGTAACTTACCTTAAAATGTAAGATGTAAAAAAAGTATCTTGAATTTATGGAGGGTTACTGAAATACATGAAAGCATGCCCAATATTTTGATCTCTTTTTGCATAGCTCAATCACTTTACTGATAAAGATTGGATAGTAAAGGATTTAACCTTAACCAAAGAGAGGTTTGGCCTTTACTTTCAAATTTTGAGAGGTGATCTCTAGTGCCTTGGAATTTCATGCATGATAGAAATGTATTTGTTTGCTTGGGGGCTTTAGCTACTGGACAGCCTAACACTGATTTATTATGAGGGCTTCAGGAAACATTATTAGTTTTGCCTCTGGAAGGAACTAGAGAGTAAAATCACCAGTCTTCCCTCTGGAAAAGACTAGGCTAAATGTCAGCTTTGCAGGAAATATGTGATCAAGTCCCAATAAAAACTCTGGACACCATAGGCAAAAAGCCAGGGTACCTTGCTAGCAATAGTCTGTCTGTATCGTCTCATATTATGGAGAGTAGTTTAAGAGGATAACCAGAGTTCCTCATTTGGTACCTCTCTTAGACTCTGCCCTTTCTGCTTCTTCCCTTGGCTGATTTCAATCCATATTCTTTCCATGTAATATAACATATAACTGTGAGTATAACAGCTTTCAGTGAGTTCTATGAGTCCTATTGAATTAGTAAAACTGAGGGTGGTTTTAGAAATCCTTTGAATTGCAACTGGTGTCAGAAATGAGGGCAGTCTTGTAGTTGGCTAACTTTTGCAGTTGGCCAAAACTCCTTACAATTGGTATTAGAAGTGGGATTTGCTAGAAAGAGTGTGATGCATGAAACATGTGATCTGGGAGGAGGAAGGAAGAGAGGGTAAAGAATGATGAGTCTTTAAAGCCTGAGTGAACACAAAGTCACTCACAGAAAGGAAATGCAGCTGTGCTGCAATTAGTTATCGAAGATTAAAGTTAGCAATGGAATTTCGAAATGAAAGATCCAACTCCTAAGGAGCTGTGTTACTGAATGGATAAATAAATGTAAAATAACAAGAAACAAGGTACATATATAGTCCCTTGGTTACTGATATCTGTGCTAGCTAAAATTAATATAAGGGAGAATGTTGGAGTGGATCCTGAGGCTGAGCCAAGCTGAGATTTTGGCTTGTCCAATATATAGTTGCTAACCTCAGAGCTGCTTCCGAAGGAAAAAAGTTAGGTTAAAGTCATAAACAGTGAATAAAGTTAGATTAATTCATAAGAGAATAGGACTTGTCCTAGCAGGATAAAATTGGAGAATATCATGCTAATTAAAATAAATCAGACAGAAAAAGTGAAGAATCATATGATTTCACTCATATGTGGGATATAAAACTGAAAGCAACACATGAACAAACAAAACAAATAAAATCTCATAGACACAGACAACAGTATGGTAATTACCAGAGGGAAGCAGGGTTAAGAGGGTAGTAAAGGGTAAAGGGGGTCCAATATATGGTGACGGAAGAGATTCGACTGTGGGTGGTGGGCACACAAAATGCAATAATAGATGTATCATAGAATTGTACACTTAAAACCTATATAATGTTATTAACCATTGTTACCCCAATAAATTCAATTGAATAAAAAATAAATAAATGGCTGAATAAAGTGAGCACTGATGGGGGCAAAACAAAGGTCTTAATGTAGCATTGTTGTGGGTTGAGCACAGATAGGAGCAGTTGCTTGTCTCCTGATAGGAGTGTATTTGATTTCCTGGTGACTATGGCACTGCACCATCTAACAATGTAGTTTAATATGAGGGCTTTGGTCCTAAACAAATCTCTATTGAGAGGTCCTAAACAAATCTCTATTTAGTTTAGAAATATTTAAAAAGCGAGAAGACAAAGATGACTGTAAGAAAACTCACCTTGAATCACCTAACGTGATGGATGATCCCATAATCTAGTCAAGATAAGGCCTGACAAAAGGGTCTGGATCCCTTCGCCCAGTGTAGGCCTAGAAATCCAAGGCCATATGCACATAAATTGGTCAAATGGTCAGAAAATGGAGAAGAGATTTTGGGGGGACTTCTTGACATGGGAGTACCATGTACTGTGATTCTAAAACTTGTTAAGGTCCTAATTGGGGGATAATATTAGGTTGAGAGGGTATAGGAGCGCAATAGGGATTAAGGTGAAAGTTTGGATGAAAATAGCAGGTTTGTACAGTGAACTTTATGTGAAGTGGTGAGTCTCCTTTACCTGAATGTATTATGGGAATGGATATTGTGTTTGGAGAATTCTTCCCCTATCTAGTATTGTATGACAGAAGGCATGTAAACCCACTCTTCCATCCAATATAGATTGGATGTGCTAAGTGAAAATCAAAAGATCGTCTGAGCCCACACAGTTCATTCATTTGCTGTACAATAGCTTTGTGTAGAGTGCAAACTAGGACTTATGGCAAAACCTATGAGAGCTACCCAGCAACAACTGCTGAGATTTTGGTCCAGAAAATCTGTATTTGAGGAAACAATTACTAGCTTATTATTGAACTTTAATTGAAACTTCCCTTATTACTAAATGACATAGAATAATATAATCTTGAAACCTGAAATATCCATAATGTCTTAGGTAAGGTCAGAGAAATGTTCTAATGGGGAAGGCAATGCCTAGGAGAGTTCCATAATAAAATGGAAATGGTGGATATAGGATCATGCTACCAGGAGAATGCAAGGAGGTACTCACGAGCAGGTAGCCTCTTTTCACCTAGGGCCGACTTCGGAAGCACCTGAGGAGCTGCTGGATCCTATGGCCACTTAGGCCGCTTGGGCGGTGCCCTATAAACAGCTTTCTATTGATCAACAAAGAGCTGCTTGGTTTATGGATGGCAATTCCAAGGTGAAGGGACAGCATCCTGTTTGGAAGGCCGCCACTCTGATTGAAGAAGGTAAAAACAAATCAGCTCGATGGGCTGAACTGCATGATTTTTGGCCCTATATTTGGGTTTTAATTGAATCATGGGAAGTGTCTAATGGCCTGGCCATATGGTCAGGCAGAAGGACAATGGAAAACTGGTCTACTAAAGGGATTCCTGTATGGGGCATAGCCCCATGAAAATCACCCTGGCAATGCAAGGGGTATATTAAAGTAAGATATGTTAATGCCCATCAAAAGAACCCCCTTCCAGAATTGGAAACTGATTGAAACTGGTGAGCAGGTATTGATGTGCCTTCTTGATATGGCCACCTGGACCCATGAGATGAGTGAACATTAGGGGGCTGCAAGATGGGATGAATGTAGATATATTCGTCTTGCACTTTCTGAGACACACAATGCCAACAAGGACTGTTCTGTCTGCTAACAAGAGAGACAGAGACGGCACAGGGCTATACAGCAGATTCCACGGGGAAAGGTCTTTCACATAGATGGCAAGTTGGCCTGATGCCAGTAGTCTCTGGAGGCTACAAATTTGTCCTAACAGGAATAGACACTTACTCTAAATTGGGCTTTGCTTACCCAGTGGTAGATACAAATGCTCAGTGTACTATGAAAGGCCCAGAGCAGAAGATAGTATATCAATGACCATTATACCAAGGAACACACTTTCATCTAGAGCAATGATTTGATAGAAAATTGGAATGGACAATGAAACACTTGTCTCAAAGGGGAGGAGATAAAGACATGAAGGGCTGGCTTACGTATACACCTTCATTGGTGTGTGATCATACTCAACATGAGGGAGTCCAAGGGATGGTGCCCATTAGACAGATTCCTCTACTTTTCTGGGGAAGAGAGGGTTGGGGGAAGATGCTCTAATGACATACTTTTTACTTTAGGACATTACTTTTTTCCCCCATGTCACCTCAATTTCCCCCCCTATCAGATGTAGTGGTCCTAAACCAGGACTGCAACTGTGAGTGCCTACTAGTTCTATATGTAAGTAATCCTACCTTATATGAAAGGAAATGAACTGGGTGGGAGGCACTTGCTAAAGAGGTATTACTGGTGGCAATCTGGATCACATACTGGCCAAACTAATTGTCTCATCAAAGATTTTCAAAGGAAAAGTTTGGGTATAATGGAGAGAAGAAATGGTACCTAAAGGTAAATGAGTGAATAAATGGTTTATGCAATGAGGGCAATCCAATATATTGGTGTATCAAAAGAGGTTTAGAACAAGAGATGATGTTGTTTCTTAGCTCAGTTGTAACAGATGCCAGAAAGGGAAAAGCCATATGTTGTTGAGACTACTGCTTCTGGAACATGACAAACCTTAAATCTGAGTAGCATCATTCTAGGAGGCATTGTTGTCATATGATATGATGATGGACAAGGGTAACTTTAATGTATGTGCAGGAATTCAACTATGTGCCAATATCTTCTGACTTTTATTTTTCACATTATATTTACTACTATACTGTGATATGTTATAATACTGGCACTTTAGTAAGATTATAAAACTGGTTATATGTACTGAGAAACAGAGTTAAAGCCTCCTCAAAATTGTAATACCAATGGAAAATGACTGACCTTAGCAACAGAGCTAATTTCTATGGTAAATAGTTCTATGTGAATATATCATAAACTACAAATAGTAGTTAAAGGTGAAAAATCAGTAAATTAGTACAAAAAATATGAAAATGTATGTAATGGCTATAGAGGATGGATTAGCTATTTCTTGAAATCTACCCCAGTCCCACACTGGCTTCTCCAAATCTTAGGCATATTCACACTTTTATTGTTTTTGTGTCTATAATAAAAATGCTATAGTCAATATAGATATCCAGTCAAACAAATACAATCATTTAGCTTTCATATAGCCTTGGCCAAAGGCTAGGGAGTAGTTTGTCTAATAATGAATTAACTTTATTCAAAGAGAGTCTGGTTTTTGCCCTCAGTAACTGATAAGTGATAGGAGTGTTTTTGTACTGGGAAAGTACAAAGACACCAGACAGTCTAACAGTGTGATTTATTATGGGGCTTTGGGCAATGTGCTAACAGTTTTACTTCTGGAAAGTGTTGGACATTAAAGGTATCAGCCCAACTTCTGGGAAGGGCTAGAGACTAAAAGTCAGCCATATGAGCAGTATTTGATGAGCCGTAGTAAAACTTTGGACACCAAAGGCTTGGATCTTCCCTGATTGGCAATGCTCCCTGTGTTGCTACACATTGATGCCAGGAGATTTTAATGCATTTCTAACTCCACAGGGAGAGGATAACAGACGTTCCTACTTGGTAACTCTCCTGTACTCTGTCTAATGCACTTCTTCCCTTGGTGGATTTTAACCTGCATCCTTTCCCTGCAATAAGCCATAATTGTGGGTATACCTCTTCAGTGAGTTCTGTGAGTCTTTTTAATGAATTATTGAAGCTGAGAGTGGTTTTGGAAATGTACTGAATTGCAATTGGTGTCAGAAGTGAGGGTAGTCTTGTGGAGTGCTCCAACTCTTCAGTTGGCTAAATTTCACAGCTGGCCAAAACTTTGTACACTAAACCATATAATTCTCAAGAACATTAAATCATATAATTCTCAAGGTTTCTTACCTGAGATCCCTTCTTGCTACCTGGCAAGTTAATTATGAGAGTTTTCCCTCTGATTCCACATACAGGCCTAAAAGGAAAGATAAACTGGATGAATACTAAATGGTAACGAAAAGCTGGTTTAAATATATTAAACAACAAGAATCAATCACTGTTCTTTACATGAGAACAATTGTTTTAGAAATATAATTGTTGTGGCTAGAGATTCACCAATTGGTATACAAATTGGGAAATCTGGCTGAGGTTTTTACAATAATGGTCAGTGTGGTGGATGGGAAAAAAGCACTGAACATGGAATCAGAATAAATTAAAGCCACTTTAAAGAAATAATGGTCAAATTATCTTTCTCTAACTTCAGGTTCTTGATAACTCATACGGTTATAAGATTTTAATGAGACAGTGTATCAAAATACTTAACATAATATTTAACTTTAAAAATGTAACACATAAGGTGCTCAAGAGCTAAATGAGGCATTTGAGTTCTTAGGAAGTCATTAAGTTTTAAAGTAAAATAAGGTGTCTAGTAAATGAATGGCAGTTGGGAGTTTGGAGAGCTCGGTTGTTAACAGATCCATTGATAAAGAGTCAATTTAAAGTAAAAGGTCTTTCATAGGTCACTGTCAATTTCCAAGCCACTTTAATCTAAGTGGTTATATAAGAAACATAAACACTAGAAAAGGACTGGAAGACTGAGATAAAAATTGAAGGCCTGGATTTCATATGAGAATTGTAATCATTCTCTGGCAATATCTCATGGTCATTATTTGAAAACAAAAGTATTGATTAGTCTATTCCTAAAATTGCGCAGCTAATGTTTAAAAGTCATATAAGAATATTTTCCCCAAACTTCTATTCTTTAACTACTCTAGAGTTTATTCTTTAACTACTCTCCCTCTCTGAAATAACCTAAAATTATCTCCTATTTTGTTTTTTTATTTTCCTATTCACGAAGAGAAGAGTTTATAGCTATTTATTTAAAACTTTCCATATTCTTTTGTTTTCAATTGTAATATAATTGACAAATAACATTGTATTAGTTTTAGGTGTAGAACATAATGATTTGATATATGTACTGCAAAATAATTATCACAATAAATTTAGTTAACATCCATCACTTCAGTTACAGTTTTTCTTCTTGTGATGAGAACTCTTACAATTTACTGTCTTGGAAACTTTCAAACATACAATACAGGATTATTAACTACTGTACATTACACCTCCAGAATCATATATATATATGTATACATGTATGTATACATATATATACATGATATACATGTATACATGATATACATGTATATATGTATGTATATGTATATGTATATATATCAATCAAAGGCTAATATGCAAAGTGTCCCCGCAGTTCAACCAGGAGTTCTATCATATGCTATGACAACTTGCACTGACCATCAGGGGGTGGCACAGAATGAAGGCAGGCCCTGGCTGGCAGCCAGCAGCAGGGGAAGGGAGGCCCCGGCTAGCAGCCAGAAGGCCCCGATTGGCCCTGATTGCTGGTCAGGCCTAGTGACCCTATTTTGTGCACCGGGCCTCTAGTTTATTTATAAGTGGAAGTTCTTACCTTTTAAACACCGTTGCCCATTTTACCCACTCCTCAATCCTGCCTCTGGCAACCATCAATCTGTTCTCTATGTCATGGGTCTGCTTATTTTTAAATTCCACATATGAAATTATATAGTATTTTTTCCCCCTCTGATTTCACTTAGTAAATACACTCAAGGTCCATCCATGTTGTTGCAAGTGGCAGGATTTCCTTTTTTTGTGTATGTGTGTGGCTGAATATTTCATTGCACATATATATGTTCTTCCCCAGGATAGGAAATTTTTAGTCATGATTTCTTCAAAAACTATGTATATATTTTTTCTTTATTCATTCATCAATTGATGGAATCCTAGGTTCTTTCTATCTTTTTGTGATTATAAACAATGATCCAATGAACATGGGGGTGCAGGTATCTTTTTGAGACAGTGACTATCATTTCCTTTGGATAAATAACCAGAAGTAGAATAGCTGGATCAGATGGTACTTCTACTTTTAATTTCTGATGAACCTCCATACTCTTTTCATAGTAGATTAACCAATTTACATTCTCACCAACATTGTACAAGAATTCTCTTTTCTCCACATCCTCTTATCTCCTGTATTTTGATAATGGACATTCTAACAAGTGTGAGATGATAACTCATTGTCCTTTGGTTTTACGTGTTCCTGATGATTAGTGATATCGATTGACCACTTTTCATGTACCCGTTGGCCATCTGGATGTCTTCTTTGCAAAAATGTATATTCGATTATCCTCTGCTCATGTTTAAATTAGATTATTTGGTTTTTCGATTGAGTTATATGACTTCTATAATTTGGATATTAACCTCTTATCAGATATATTATTTGCAAATATTTTCTCCCATTCTGTAAGTTGCCTTTTCATTTGGTTGACGGTTTCCTCTGCTGTACAGAAAGTTTTCAGTTTTATGTTGCCCCACTTGCTGATTTTTGCTTTTGTTGCCTTTTTTTTGAAGTTAATTCCAGAAAAGCACTGCCAAGAATAATGTTCAGGAGCTTACTCCCTATGTTTTCTTCTAAGAGATTTATGGCTTCAGATATTACATTCAAGTCTTTAATCCATCTTCAGCTTCAGGTATTACATTAAAGTCTTTAATTCATATTAGTTGATTTTTGTGTATGGTGTAAGACAGGGGTCATATTTTGTTCTTTTGCATGTGGCTATATAGTTTTTCCAACACCATTTATTGAAGAGACTACCCTTTCCCCAGGGTATATTCTTGGTTCCTTTGTTATAAATTAATAGACCATACATATGTGGGTTTATTTATAGATTCTCTATTTTGTTCCACCTATCTGTGTATCTGGTTTTATGCCAATACCATACTGTCTTGATTACTAAAGCTTTGTAATATACCTTGAAATCAGGAAGTGATTTTTCATTTTTCTAAAGATGCTTTGCTATTAGGGTCTTTTATGGTTCCATTAGGATTATCCTATTTTCATGAAAAAATGCCACTGAAATTCTGATAAGGATTGCAATGAATGTGCAGATTTTAACAATATTAATTCTTCCGATCCATGAGCACACAATATCTTTCTATATTAGACTTCAATTTCTTTCATCAATGTCTTATAATTTTCAGTGTACAGATCTTTCACTTCCTTGGTTAAATTCATTCCTAGGTAGCCTATTCTTTTGATGCAATTATATATGGGATTGCTTTTTTTAAAATTTCTCTTTCTGATAGTTCATTATTACTGTATAGAAATGCAACTAATTTTTATATATTGACTAGAGGCCTGATGCATGACATTCATACAAGAGTAGGCCTTCCCTCCACCAGCTGACAGCATCGGCTTCCCTCTGGCACCCGAGACCCAGGCTTCCCTCACAGCCCCAGCTTCATCTGGAAGATCGTCAGGTCTAATTAGCATATAATGCTTTTATTATTATAGACTTTGTATCCTGCAACTTTATTGATTGAATTTATTCATTCTAATTTTTTTTTGTGTGTGTGAAGTCTTTATTGTTTACCATATATAATATGCCATTTACAAATAGAAGCAATTTTACTTCCTCCTTTCTATTTTGGGTGGCATTTTTTCCCCTTTTATTTGCATAATTGCTCTGGCTAAGACTTCCTGTACTATCTTGAATAAAAGTGGCAAGACTAGTTGTCCTTGTCTTGTTCCTGATATTAGAGGAAAAGTTTTCAGTTTTTCACCACTGAGTATGTTGTTAGCTATAGATCTGTCATATATGACTTTTCTTATGTTGAGATACATTTCTTCTATATTCACTTTGTTAAGTTTCCATTATGAATGAATGTTAACTTAGGTCAAATGCATTTTCTGCATCTATTGAGATGATCACATGATATTTGTTATTTTGTTAAAATGGTCTATCATATTGATGAATTAGTGGCTATTAAACCATCCTTGCATCCCTGGAATAACCAGTTCATCATAATGTATTATTCTCTTAATGCAGTGGTTCTCAACCTTCTGGCTCTTTAAATACAGTTCCTCATGTTGTGACCCAACCATTATTTTCGTTGCTACTTCATAACTGTAATGTTGCTACTGTTATGAATCGTAATGTAAATATCTGATATGCAGGATGGTCTTAGGTGACTCCTGTAAAAGGGTCATTCTACCGCCAAAGGGGTTATGACCCACAGGTTGAGAACCGCTGTCTTAATGCAATGTTGTAGTCAGTTGGCTAATATTTTGTTGAGAATTTTTGCATCTATGTTCATCAGGTCTATTAGCCTATAATTTTGTTTTCCTGTACTGTCTTTGATTGGTTTTCATATCAGGGTAATGTTGGCCTTGTAAATGATTGGGGAAGTGTTCGCTCCTCTTCTATTTTTGGGAGAATTTTTATTACTTTTGAGAAGGAATTGTATTAATTCTTCTTTAAATATTTGGTGGAATTATCCAGTGAAACCATCTGGTCCTGCACTTTGTTTTTTGAGAGGTTTTAGGTTTACTAACTCAATCTCCTTACTAATAATTGGTCTGTTCACATGTTCTACTTTTAAATTCTAAATTGAACTATATACTTACCTTTACTAGAGAAATTTATACTTTCATATAGTTTTCCTGTTACTGATTAGTACCCTTTGTTTCAGCTTAAAGAAGTCCCTCTAACATTTCTTGTAAGGCCTGTCTAGTTACAACATTGTTGAACTAGATGAAGTCCTTCAACATTTTCTTGTCTTATATACTCTTCTTCTCTCCTTCAATTCTGAAGGACAATTTTGTTGGGTAGAGTATATTGGTTGAAAAGCTCTTTATTTCTTTCAGCACTTTAAATATATCATGCCACTCCCTTCTGGCCTACAAAGGTTTTTGTTTTAATCTTCACCTGAGAATATGTTTTCATTAAATTTTTTAGACCAAAAAGAAGGATGAGGGGGAGAGGGAGAGGGAGAAGGAGAGAAAAACACTGATTGGTTGCATCCTGTAAGCACCCTAACTGAGGATCAAACCTGTAACCTAGGAATATGCTCTGACTGGGACTCAAACCCACAACCTTTCTG